AACTTTTACAGAGAATTGCAACACATTTTCCATGGTTTTTTTTTAAATTATTTCACACTTTTGAATTACGTTTCTGATGATCAAAAATAATTATAACGTTACATATCATAAAACAAATGATGATCTTGCAATATTTTGCAACTTTTACTTCGTAAATTGTAAAAGGAGAAAAAAAAAACGAGGGTAAAAACGATCGGTTCGAAGGAAGTCAACCGTAGGTGGAAGTCGGTTGATGACGATGACGATGATGATAATGATGATGATGATGATGATGATGGTGGTACCACCTATCGCAAGAGATGATGAGCAGATTGTTCGCGTAGGCAGCGTTATACTAAAAGACTCGTCATTTATCAGCCTAAATATCCCCGAGAGAGTGGCACACCGTTGCTCGCATGATGCAAATAACGCGAGATACGAACCGACTTCTTGTGTCCCTCATCGTTTGCAAAGAGAATAGGGTAGTAGAAAGAGATGGTAGGGAGGTGGGATAAAAATAAAAAGAAGAAAAAGAAGAAGAAGGAGTACTTGTTTCTAACAGAAAACACAAAAAAAGAAAAAGAAAAGAATCCAAATTATCCAAGGAAAAAAGAGAGGGGGAGATTACTATACCCTTTTTAAACGCTAAGCTACTAGCAACTAGTTAAAAGCTGCTAGCTTAAGAAAAGAATAAAAAGAAAAGAAAAAAAAAACGTGTTACTATTTGTTTCTTTCTCTTGCAATTGCAGAGAGGGAGTAAGATCAAAGACCACGGGGAGAAAGGGATAGAAGTAAGGTGAAGCAAGGCGAGCCGGTGATCGTAGTGGGATCGACAAAGTAACCTGAATCCGCGACGTAGACTTTCGACGGCAGTAACGACGAAGACGCCATGACGACACGATCACCAACAACATCGCCCTCGGATCGGCGTTCAACTATTGGACTGGTCTTAGCGATCTTTTTCATCTTCATCGCACGTGAGTAAACTTTCTTTCCTTTCATTTCTATATCTTTTACAATTAAAGATGATATACGCGAATTTAAATATAAAATTACTTTCCGTGTCATCGAAAAGATCAATTTTTTTTGTCCCAATTATAGTATTGCAAAATGCATTAATCACGCGTTCGACAATTTTGTTGTTGTTGTTGTTGTTTGGTCGTTGGATTTCGAGTTCGTGATTTTTTCCTTTTTTCTTATTTAACGTACTGTTCCCGTAAAAAAAAAAAAAAAAGTAAAGAGAAAAAAGAACTGTCTCGTTATTTTGTGAGAATAATAATAAAAAAAAAATATATATATATATATATATAATAAATATATGAGGAAAAGAGAGAGAGAGAGAGAAAAAAAAGAGGATTCCTTCCGTAGCCATTGACTTTAACGTTACGAGCACGAACGAAACGGTTATTGGATGATTTCGAGCGTGCTAATTGTCGAAGTTAATTACGAACACGATTCGGCTTGTTCCTCTTCGGAGATTCCTCGCTCTGTTTCTCGCACTCGTACGACTTTCTCGATCTCTGCTTATTTTTTTTTTCTTTTTCATCATCATCTTCTTATTCTTATTCTTATCTTTTTTTCTTCTTCTCATTCTCAAACAGATATTCGTTATGATTAATATCGAATTCGAATCATCAATAGAAATTTCGCTAAGGAAACTTTTGTATAACTCTTTCGTATTTCCTGATAATAATTATTCTCGTAATAATAGTAATAAAACAATGTAAATAAAAACATACCCGATGACAATGAGAAACAGTGTCGTTGACTGCAGAGACACAGGAAACGTTGTATTCATATAATTAGAGGAAAAAAATACAATAAAACGTCGTTTAATTACATCTTACAAGGAATTGAAATGCGTTACGATTCACTATCGTAATAATACCTTTAAATCATTTCAACCAGTTGTTAATACGGTTCGCGACAAAAATTGTTTTCGATCGTAAAGAAACTTTGAAAGTTTCCTTAATGAAGAAACTTTATATATCGTGTCTAAAAAAGAAAATTATATTATATAACTGTGTAATATATAACTTTTACCATACAAATAAAATCATAAGTTATACTTAAAGTAGACACATTAATCTACGGATACGAATTTACAAATAAATTGGCGTTGAGATAAGATCGAAATAAAAAAAAAAAAAATTAATGCTTACAAGTCCGTTTAATTTACAGTTATATCTCCCATTCGTCAAGATTCCTTCTTTCTTCTTCTTTTTTTTTTTATTCAAGCGGGAAGCACAAATGATCCTTCCGAACGGTTATGAAATTCATGTCCATATTCTCATCGGTTAGCTTATGAACTCTGAGCAAGATTATCGTCTTAATGGGATGCACACGTGGTCGGAAACCACTATGACGTAAGATCTATTTTAAAGCTTTATAGAGAAAGTGCTTACTCGAAAACTAAAAGGACTATGAGAAAGATCAAAATAATCAAATTAAACAAACGAGATTTAAATCTCACCTAGATGAAAAAAGATAATGGAAAGAGATGAAGAAGCTTTTCTTTCGAAAATTTTTACTATAAGATATCAAATATAAAAAAAATTTCTTGACAATTAAACGACGCGTTTTATTGAAATCATGCGATATTCTCTCTCGTTAAAAATTCGATTCTTTCGAAATGAATTCGTACTTTCTCTCTCTCTCTCTCTCTTTCGTTAATTATTTTTTAATATATTAATATCTTTATTTTTTCTTCTTTGATCTTGCAAAATTCATAGGAAATTATGCACAAAAATGATGAATATTATGTCATCTCATGTATATTAATCATGATGTTTCCATCATCGTGGAAACATAGAGATGAAAGATCATCAGTGATTAAAACAACAAGAAAATAATTGACGAAAGAATACAATAAACGAATTCAGAGATACATTTATAATTATGAGTACTCGTGTAAGGGTTATGCAAATATTTAAGGGAAGTCGAATAAATTCTTATAAATTTATTTTCCTTTCGTGATAAAAAACGAGTTCATCGGCCGATTCGATATCATTCCACGAGGTTCATCGGCATTTTACGTAACACCGGTCTCACACGTCGAGTTTTAAGATCGCACCGATGATGACGCATCATCAATGTAAAAAAAAAAAAAAAATCGTTTGGTCGTCCCAAAACGGGGCAATCGTTTTCTTTGGAGAACTCGGCAATGTCGTAAATCATTACGACACATACTGCGTATCATAGAGGGCCTTTGCCAATTGCGTTCTCTACTTTCTGCTTTCTCCTTCGTCTCAGAAAATGTCAGAGGTCTCCTTGACATATATATCACATTATTCGTCTGTATATTTTATTTATATAATTAAAAATTCATCTCGTATATATATATATGTATTTTTTATCTCGCACGTTTTACAGATTAGATCGTTTTAATAATTTCATATTCTCTCTCTCTCTCTCTCTCTCTCTCTCTCTCTTTTATATTTCTCAGTCAGTAATTTTACACGCACACACACAATAATTTTGTATTTTACATTTTTTACATTGACATTAAAAAAATAAACAAAAGCGTAACTTTTAACTGTTCATCAAGTTAGATCACCACTCATCTATTATGTGTGTTCTTTCTCTCTATCTCTCTTTCTCTCTCTCTCTCTTACCCTTTGATTTTGTCCCTTTTCTTGTCCGTCCATCCTTTATCTTTTTGTCCCATTCCATTTCTTCGCTATTCCTTTCTCTCCCTCGGGTTTTTCGGCGTTCCATTTCATCTGGAGTAATCCCCACGACCCCGTTGTTGTTCTCGTTTTATCCTATCGGAAAGGAAAAAGTCTCTCGAACGGGGGTCCTATTTTCCAACGTCTTTGAACTCACGATCGATCCACGACCTTCTAACACTGGCTAAAAATGTCTTTAAAGAAGTATTTCGAATATGTTTCTATTCCGTATGGAATTTAGTCTTGATTTTATCATCTCGTTACTTCAAAAATATTTAACTGTTGCGAATAAGGAACTAGTTCTTTTTTCTATTTTCTTTTTTCTTCCGAGATCTTTATCAGTATCGTAAACATAGAGATATATCGATAAATCATTCGACTCGATCGATCGATCACTGAATACCAATTGATTTCTTTAACAGAATTCGAAGCACGCGTCCAGTAAAATGTCATTCCGTGTACGCAGAGACACGTGTATCTGAACCCTTGATATTCTATACGACACAACATCGATACTCGATAAAGAATGGAATCGATATTTGTGAGAGAGTTAAATCACACTAACGTAATACAGATTTAACAACTTTTTCTAAATTACTATTTACAATGATTACATAATAATAATGTAATATAATATATAAGATTGATTTTAATATAATATGATATTATATTATATTTATAATAATACGTGTCACAAAATTAATACTATATATAATTTGTTAACCAAATTCTTTTTTCAAATATTCTCTCTCTTTCTCTTTCTCCATGTAACATACAACAGTATTGCTGTAAATTTTCACCACAAATGAACACATCTCATGGCAATTATAACGGAAAAGCCTATCGCATACCGACCTCGTTTCCTCTATTCATGGATAACATATCGATCTGCAAGCAGATTAATTAGAGGAACACGTTCTACAAAATCGAATGGTGCGTTCTATTCGTCGGTTTATAAGCACTATCTATATAATGTAACATTTAGAAAGGAACCTTTCCAACTATCAACAAGTTTAAATGGTTCAATCTAACGCCCATTTAAATCGAATTATCGTTTGACCCTTTGAATTATCATTTTTTTTACCTTTCGATATTAAATTCTCAATTATTTAACGTGTTCTTTTTTTTTTGTTACCTTTAAAAATAATTAACCTGTCAGATTGAAAAACGCGAATAAGAATTAATCAACAGTTGTGTAGTGTTAATAGCTGACAGATAACATATATGACAGTAAAGAATGTTCAAATGAAAATATAAAAATGATTGAAACGACGTACGTTTCCTTGATCGTAATTATCGTATCCCGAAGAAAACATCAATCCCGATTCGTTAGACAGATTCGTTAAATGGAAGAAAATCATCAGGATTATGTACTTCGAAAGTAAACAACCGATCGACCTTGTCTACGTGTTTTTTATCCAATTATCAAATACCTTTGCTACGAGGAAGCACACACAACGTATGTCCCCATACGTTACATCGGTGATTACATGTGACATTTAACGGCACAGAGGAAGAAAAGAGAGAGAGTAAAAGAAGCAAAAGATATGTACCCATAAATGGTTGCTTGCTCTGCAAGCATTCAACCAATTTTCCGCAGTGGATCCGCCTAGAATCGTCTTACGATGTTTTCTATTTTTTCCCCTATTTCTCTCTCTCTTTCTTTCCCTATCTATCTATCTAGTTTTCTCTTCATTTTTTTCCTTCTAAACTTTTTATTTCTATATATTTTTTTTCTTCTTCTTCTTCTTCTCTTTCATTTTTTTTTTCCTTTCCTATTGCCGAAGCCGATATCAGAAGGATGTTTACCAAAGGGTCGTCGTGTTGTTCAATTTATACGCGAAGGAGCGTCAATCTTCCCGATCTCTCGACGTTTCTACGTTCTAGGAGGAGTGCCGTAACGGTGCGCCGAACGAGTTACGCGTCTGTTCGAGTTAGATCGAACGCGATTTAAATGGATTTCTAAAACGGATCCGCACTCGTTCGTTCATTCGTTTGTACGTTTCTAACGTATGTATGTATGTATAAACGTTAGCTCGACTAGATAACGAAAGGGACGTTAGCAAAATTTGTCTTTCTTTCTTTTGGATACCTTGACCGTGAATCAAACACGAATTGGTTACTCAAATATAACATCATTGACGAATCTATCATTTTTCTGTTAAATGTTTTATAATATTTTTTAATTGAAATGATTCTCATTGAGATTTATTAATTAATCGAGATTGTTTTTTTCTTTTTTTTAAATCAACGTTGAAACAATTCGGTTGGTAAGAGAGAATAATTGAAATCTCAACGATTAGTTTGGTCTAGAAATTACTGAATAAATCGGGATCATAGATTACTTCATTGATAATTAATCATTGGGTTTAAATAAAAATATAGGAATAATCGAGGAATCATTTGAAAATCAATCTCAAGGATAGGATGAATTATTCGTAACAATAATAAGAAGAGATGATTGACATTCCGTGTCTCCGCGATCCTTGCCAACACGAACTGTCCTGCGTGCCAGTTCACCAAATGCGGGACAGAGAAGCATTCGTGGAAGCCAGTTTTGCATGCCCCGACGATATTCGTAACGATCCCTTCTACCAACCACCCCTCCCTTTGGTCACCGGTGTATATCTCCTAGAACTCCGAGCACACGGAAATTAATCTTGGAGGCCGTACCAACGTGAAGACGTTTACTATAGAAATTGTCTACCGTTAGCCATCGTCAAGCTATCCAAACGCGATTTATTATTCCAACTAGTCCGATCCGATTCAACATATTTATTCATTATATGCACCAGACCGGTTCTCTATTGCTCACGAAAAAAATATTAACTGATCGTATATATTATATATATATATTTTTATCTCTATTTTCTCTTATATTTTTTCCCCCTTTTTATTTTTCATTTCTCTTATAAGAGTAGTCTTCATTATTTTTATAAAACGTCATCGTTTCATCCATATATACACACAGATACGATTATTTCATCTTATTATTTTACATTTAAATATTATTGTGTAGTATATATATTGTTACGTGAATCATTTTAAATGAAAAATAACATTATTTTATAGAAATATATAAGATTTATTTCTTCTCTTATCAATTGTGTGTTATATTAATTTGTTTGAAATTATATAGAATATATTAATGATTTATTAATTAATAATATTATCGATTAAAAAATCAGATAAACAAATAAATCGATCCTTAAAGGTTTGTATTGCCATCGACAAAATAGAAAGTTTGTTGGACTATTTCTCGTGGATTAAGATAGAAGAACGATTACTTTGTTAATTAACTAAAGGTAATTAATTTCCTCTGCAGAGCTATGTGACGGAGCTTATTACGGAAAGCTGATTGGCAAGCTGTCCGAACTTCACCATGGCGTCAGCGGCGAAGTTTACGCCGTAGATGGAAGGACCCTCTTCATCAAGGACTTTACGTATGACGGCGAAGGACCAGGTTCGTATCATCATCGATCCCCATATATATATATATATATATACATACATACATACATACCTATCACGCATTATTAGGGAATGTTTGCTATTCGACGAGGATAACGGATTTCCTTTAAATCTGATCAATTTCGAAATCGGATATGCCGTTATCGAATATCTAACCAGATTTTCAATTAATTTACTATCGTTATAATTGTCACGATCCTAAGCTCCTTCGATTCTATTTAATCCTACACACCAGGATAAATAAAATAATTCTTAATTAACGTACCGTAAATAATCAACTAGCAATTTGATCGTTATCGATATCTCGTATAAATCATTCCCAGAGATGCCAACAACTAACCACAAAAAATTTTCTGTTCCTGCCAGTTCAACCAGATTTCGTTACATTTATCCTAAGTCCTTTTCGTTTGTATCTAAAAAAAAAAAAAAAAAGAGTAACTTACTAATGAACGTGCACGTCAATCCGACAGAAAGCATCTAACGACAAAATATATCAATCTACATACGTATACCTTTCGAGTACGGTACCTTTCACAAAATGATCCGTATAGTACAAATAAAAAAAAAGAAAAGAAAAAGAAACATTCCATAAGAGAATATATTTCTCGTCTCGAAAGTGATCCGTTCAAATTGGAAAAAAAAGCGGATGCTACAACAAAAATATAAACTTTCTCCCTCTTAAGCTAATCGATTTCTTCTTTCATGAAACTTTCCCAAAACAACAAAGTCAACCAACGACCAATGAAGTCTATGACTGTTCTTTAGATATTATTTTGCGTTAATTAACGCAACGTGTATATGTTAGTCAACGTGAATTTATCTAATAAGTTAAACATACTTTATAAACAATTATAAAAAGTTTTATTATATTCACTTTTACTTATTACTAAGCCATATTCATTATCTTTATTACTAAGACAATTTTTGTTATTAGATAAAATAAATAATCGAGTTCTATTCGGAATAGTAACAGCGAAAGGTAACTTTTAAACGTGTCATTTACATCTAGCGAACAGTGAAATCGACTTCCTCCTCCTCCTCCTCCTCCTCCTCCTCCTCTTTGTCAGATAGTAAGAGAAAATTGAAACGAGAACGCAAATACTCTCACCCGTCTCGATAAGCTCGTAAAATTAAACACGTCCACGTAACGTATACTTGCGAAACTGTTGGTTGTTTGTGTTGTATTGGCGCCGTGTCGCAGCTAATAAATGAGAAAATAAATAAGGAAGACGATAGTGCTCTTACTCGATAGTGTGCACATGAATAGTAATATGGTAAATTTTAAAATAAAAAACGAAACGATTACCAAACAAATACATTATTCCTTTTTCCAGCTGCATTCTTCTATGCCGGAAATTCCAAGAGTCCGAATTCGAATGGCTTTAGAGTACGAGACGAACGTGGAACGTAAGTTAAAATCAATTCATTTGAATAACACAGTGAAAGTATTTTTAATCGTACGCGTGCCGTTTAATTATGACGATGGTATTAACATTAAAGATAAAAAATATAATACAAATTACAGAAATTATTTTAATACAAGTGTGAGAGATAAGTCATAAAATTAATTATTGTATTCAAAATATTCCATTTACGAGATTAAGCTTTCAGTATAATAATTATCGACGTATATTTATTCACATAAAAAAAACTGACCCTGTTTTTTAAATATATATATATATATGTGTTTTTTTTTTCTCTCTTATAATTGCAACAGTGCAAACGTGTTGAAACGATACCGGAGAAAGGACATTACATTGACCTTGCCTGATGGTAAAACCTTGAATAGCATCAAATGGTTCTCTGTGTGGTGCGACGAATTTGCTGTAAGTAAAAAAAAAATCTCTTGATATCTTTCTCTTTCTTCCTATCTCTCTCCTATTTCTCTCTCTCTCTTTCACGTTCATGACCTTCAACATCGTATACAGTACTTGCACTACCGTCATGAAAACCGGTATCACCTTCTCTTGATACAACTTTCACGTTACGTATTTATGTATATTCACGTATAAACGATAGCATGAAATAGAACATTTCTTTCTCTCTCTTTCTCTCTCTCTCTCTCTTCCCTAACTATAGCAATTGAATTCTAAAAATATATATTTAGAGCACGAAAAATGTAAGAACAAAATACAAATAAAATATGGAAAGAAAAATAAATTAATTTGAAACTTTTTGCAGTATAATATATACATATATATATGCATGATGCACTCACGTTAAAAGCATACAAAAATGGTTCCTTCGATTCGATCTCGAGTTGCATAATTAACAGCCTATAAATTGGCATGACTAAAGTGAAAGAGAACAAGCTTTCTCGACCATGACTTAGATTGCGTTTTTCGTTACCTCTTCTTTTTCTACTTAATTTCTTCTTCTTCTTCTTCTTTCATCTCTTCTCTTCTCTTCTCTTCATCTTTTTTTTTCTCCCTTTACCATCTATTAATTTTCCCCTTTTTTTTTCCTTCCTCCCACTTGTGCGACTTTTTTTTGTTGGTCTTTTTCGAGTCGGGTCGCATGCATCTCTTCTCGAGCATCAAACGTGACAGAAAATGCATTTTGTACGCGCGACCCAGGGCTATTCTATTATATCGAAATAATTGAATTAACGTTGGTGTGGTCACGAGGACGAAAAAGCTCGAGCTGTAAGCAAGAAATTCGATTAGAGTTTCTTTTTTTTTTTTTTTTCTTTCTCTCTCTGGTACTCTCGCGTTTTTCTCGTTGATTTGCGCCTAACGGATCCTCGTTGCAAGATTCGCTAAAGACAAATTCGTCGATTGGTAAAACGGTGGTAGAATTTTAAAGAAACAGAGCAGATAGTTCGCGTTGAGTTAAAACGTGAAATATCGATTAGCGTTGTTTGCATTATACGCACGATCGTAAATTTATTCCGAGTATAACGGATGAGATGTCAATCGTGTCTATATTTATATATATATATTCACGTATACACGTATATGTTTAAACCTTTGTACGTGTATATGTAAGTGGACAGCCAAGCGTATATATAACTCGAGTCAAACGATAAGCTCGATGACGATGACAGAACGGGAACGAAGCTCTTGAATTACCATCTCGATTTATGCTTATTATTTCTCATAGAAAAGCTCATGAATTTTCTTCAACATACGCGTCCATTATGACGTTAATTGGGTTAAAGTGCGAACTTTCATCTTCTCTCTCTCTCTCACTCTCTCTCTCTCTCTCTTATTCCTCTTTTCTTTTTATTTCATCTTATTTTCATAGTTTTTGAAATTCATATAGAATCGTTTTTCTTTTTTCAAATATATAATTAAACGTTAAATCATTAAATATCGTGATTTTATGTTCGAAACTTTTGTCGAAAGACAATTATTTCATGTACCCCCCCCCCCGTCTATTAATAATAATAATAATAATAATAATATATTTAATACTATATATATGTAATTTATATTGTACAATATTCTACGAAATTGAACGAAATTTGAAATCCTTTCGCGTATATTAATATCGCGCATAGAACTATGCGTGAAATTTATGAATATATTCTAATAATACAAAATTTAACGTACGTTGAAATAGTTGATTATTATATTTCACATTTGCATCTTTTTAAATTCGAAAGGTAAAATGAAAGATATGATGGTTACTCGGTGGTAGTAGTAATACATGATTCTTTCCTATTAGAGCATATCTTTGGCTTTTCACTGAAGAAAATAGAAAACAATCTCTCGAACGAATAATACTTTTTAGGTCAACTTTGGAGACGTAAGGATCCCACGTGGTTTGGACTATCCAAAACCACAGAAATTGGTTGCTCTCAGCGGAGTTCACGGAATCAGTTCAGAACCCATCGTTATCGTGGACGCTCAGACTCTTTTGATACCAGGATTCAGTTACGATGGAGAGGCACCTGGTAAGTTCACTCATCCATTCCTTCTTCGTTAGTACAATAGAGAGATCATCAATAAAAATAAAAAAGCCAAAACTATAGCCCATTTTCGATACAGTTCAGTGAATTTTATCTTTCTGCAAATAATTTAATTTGGTACTTTTGAGATAAGTCGGAATACTTTGTTAGCATAGGTAGATACGAAAAGGTGCATTAATCAAATGCATAATAACGAGATATGAAAACATTATTCACTAGATTCATTCTTTTTCTATGTTTTATTGAGCCAACAGGATTACGAATATTTCGTAATTTTGATTAATTTATCATTTCTCTTGAGATATTCTGGTCGGTGTCCTTGTCATTCGAAAGGATTCGAAAAAATATGATAAATTTATAAATTTTTATTTCTTTCCCTTTTTTCTTCTTTTTGTTTTTGAATTATTACTTATAGAGTCGTTTCAACATAAGCGGGTTTTTTTTAGCTCTCGTTCCGTCTGTATAATTAATTAGACGTTAAATGATGACGATGCGTTACTCAGCGATATAAATTTCGTTGTGGAATTTTTGGAAGAATATTTAAATGAATTACTTTTATAACACTCTTTGTAGTGTAGGATCGTTTTATAATATATAGATAGAATATATTAAAAGTTCTCATTTAAAATCATTTAACGTAGGGATATTGTCGAACATTTTATCAAAAGGTATTAAACAGAAATTGACGCGCGTTACATAATGTAAAACGTAATTTAATTAGATATTTGACATATTTTTTTTCTGCATGTATATGCACGACCTAGAAACTTTTACTTTATCACTTGGCGAACAAGAATTTGTCTTCAAATATTATATTATAATTTGCATAATTTAATACATCCGAACTATTTTATTCGTCAGAATGGAAAATATCGTTTAAAAAATACAACAAAATTACTACGATATTTTTGGATTATACAATACCATAGAAAAAAGGGATTCAACATTAAATTCGATCATTGTTAACGAGTGTTAGAACATTTTTCTATTTTTCCTGTGTATAATTTAGATGCCAAATTTTGGGTTGGTGCCGGGCCGACGCCATCGCCTCAAGGAATTCGAGTGCCCGATGAAAATGGAAAGGAACAACCTTTGCGACGTTACGATCGCAAAACCATTGTCTTGACTTTACCCGGTGATCTGACGGTGCACCAGATAGGCCACTTTGGCGTATGGTGCGAGGCATTTACCGTTGACTTTGGCTACATACAAATTCCTCAGGGTCTCAACGTTCCACCGTCCCTTAAGATGTTAGGAGTTTCGCCGCAGGTGAGTCCTTCACGACAAAATGCACTGTAAAATGCTACTACACGCTGTGTCTGAAGAGAGGTTGCTTCTTCTTCCTTCGTTTCTTCCGAAACCCCCGCCCCTACCCCCAACCNCCCAACCCCACCCCCATCCCCGCCACCACCTTATTTTTTCCCCAGCTAAAAGATGTTCCAACGTTTATGTGTTTTTCCTCTTTTATGAATAGATAAAACATTTCATTATAATTCATGATAATTATCGTTGTGTTCGTATATCTTTTTCATTGCCTTGTCCTTATTTTTAATCGAGTAAAGATTATTCTTCGTTAATCTTCGATAAGAGAAAAATTGTTCGTCATTGATTTACTTGTCTCACTATGAATGGCTATGTGCGAAACATACTTTCCAGGAGCAGTCAATAGGACTCTCCGGCATATTTGTTCTATCTCGCGTATATTTGTCTCTGTCAATATTTGAGAAAGAATACTTGGCAGTCATTGACGGCAGACACCGATGGCAAACCCAATGCGTTCAGACGACAATGATTGTGCCAGTGTTATACGATTTTTGTTCTCCCTTCGAAAAATTACGAATCTGCTGATTTTTCGCTCACATCATTCATCTCTCTCTCTTTCTCATTCTCTCTCGCTCTCTTTTCTTTTTTGTTCTCCATTTCACCTTTCCTACATCGCGAATCATTGTCATGTTAAAGAAAAAAGATTTGACGAATATTCCAAAATCGAAATAAGAACTCCATCGCATACACACTTGATCGTTTTTTTTTCTTCTCATATTCAATATTACGTCCGTAATATATTGTACGCATATACGACGACTTCAATAGTCGCGAGCTTTAACGCTTTGAGACGCTTGCCCAAGCGTCTCCGTTATTTACGAAGACGTGATCTTAACATCGTAACGCATAAAATATAAAAAAAAAGTTGCCTTCGACGCTTCTGAAAGCTGCAAAATAAAACAAAATCGAAAAAAAATAAAGAACAAAAATAAAAAACGATTATATATAGATATATATATATAATATTATATATTATATATGTATATATATGTATATATACATATACATCAATATATATATATTATATACATATATAATCAACCATCAATACATGTGATTAACAAATTGACAAGTGAAATAGAAAAGTGGAATAGAAATTGTGTGCTTGTTAATGGAAAAATAAAATGGATATCTGTGACAGATAGAAAGCTCTCATATATATTATAACAAAGTATGTAAGAATGATAGAAAAAAAGAAATAGAATAGATAAAATAATAGAGCACGTGTGTGTTGCTGCTGCTGCTAACAAAAGACTCTGTCTCTGTCCTTGTGTGTTGCAGAATGTGCATCGCGGAGGACAGGGACAGACGGGAATACTCGATCTACAAAATCTACACGAGATTTCTTCTTCGTTATTATCTCCTGCTGCATCCTCTTCGTTCTCGACACTATCGGCTACGTATTCACCCTCCTTGATAGCTCAACAACATCAACAACAACAACGTCCAACAACATATCGTCCAATTCTTCGTCGCGATGATCAAATACAGGTGGTCCAGTCGATCGATTATCGCATTCCCAAAAGTCTGCAAGTGCCGGAAGCTGTTACACGTCAACAAAATCCGGTCCAACAAACTGGTTCATTTCAATTCAACGAGGATATACCGAATTTAGGCAGATTGAGGCAACTGGCTAACGTGCAAACCTCCGACGATTCTAGTTTTCATCATTATCGTCATCAGGATGGTGGAGGATCTTCTTCCTCGTCTTCGTCGACTCCATCTTCTTCATTTTCTTTCTCCTCTTCTCCGAATTCCGGTTCACCGTCCAGACAACACCAGTCAGGACGAGCACGATCCCGCACTCATCAACCGGATCCCCAACAAAACTCTTATTCCAGAGTCTTGCGATATCAAGGAGACCGTAGGGTCGATTCTTTTGTTCGTTACTAACGAGTTTCTTTTACCCTCCCCCACCCCCAACCCCCACCACCCTCACACGAATCTCTCAAAGGATCGACGTCTCGACTTTTCTCCTTTCGATTTCTTTTTCTCGAAATACAAAATCCGATCACAAAAAGAAAAATAAGAAACGCTCGACAACGTTCTCGTTGGAAAATAATTTTTGGGGTCTATAGGCTTCAAAAAAAAAACAAAAAAATTGAATTATAATATTATATATTTATTTATTTCGAAAACAAAAAAAGAAAAGAGATAGATACGAATTCATTTGAAAATTTAAAACTCTGGCATTCGATATATTATTATTTTGTTTGCAGCAGCCACGTTTAACAGGCGTCGAAATTTCAAATTATTACAATTCCTGCGTAAAATAATACGATCGTTCCGTGACCAATGATCATATAGAAATGGATAAATGCGATTTATTTTATAAATTTCCAAATCTACGTTTTTTCTCAATGGTTTTCTTCTTTCTCTCTCTCTCTCTCTCTCTCTCTTTCTCTCTCTCTCTTTCTCTTTTTTCCTCTCTTTCTGTCTCTCTCTCTTTCTCTTTCTGTCTCTGTCTCTGTCTCTGTCTCGTCCTTACAAAATTAATACACGACAGGAAGAAGAAGAAGAAGCAAGCAAGCAAGCAAGCAAGCAAGCAAGCATGCAAGCAAGCAAACAAGCAACGAAACTTTCTGTTATATTTCCGTCAGTTCTTTCTCAAAAGTCTATTTAAACTACGTAACATCGCAAGGGTGTTATGTATCTTACATAGTTGATGATCATGAACACACTTTGCACTTAAATATGTATATTTAGGTACACGCGTTATATAATATCTCAGTACATGAAAATAATTAATTTATCGTAGAAAACTAAATGTACTCAAGTCTTAAAGTGGACCATTGTATTAATCTTGATTAAAAGGGGCTGAAGGGGGCAAAAGGGGAGGGGAGGTTTTACTAACGAGTACGCGAGGAAACATCGAAGTAACGTGATTACTTTCCTTCATCGCGTATAACACACATCGAGTTGTAATATCTTTTAATAGCTACTAATGGTGTCGTTAATTATTACTAAACGACCAGAACCGAATATCCAATGAAAATTTATCGATGGAAAAATGTAAATGATCCATGCATATCGATTATCTCCATATGATTCGAAGAACGATTCTCAACAACCAATTATCAACAATCCACGATATCGTTTTCCTACTCTTTCTTTTTCTCGTAAACAACCGTAAACTTTTCAACAATTTAGTATCGTCTTTTTCTAACGATCACGCGCGGGAAAATTTGTTCTCTCTCTCTCTCTCTCTCTCTCTCTCTCGAAAACTCGGTCATTTTTTCAACATCTTCCCACGAATTATTTAACATTTCTTTATCTATATATAGATATATACGTAGAAAAAATTTTAAAAAGAAAAATATCCGGAAGCACATCCAGCACATCCGGATCGTTGAACAAAGAAAGAAAATTAGAGAGGAAGAGAAAGAAAGAGAGAGAGAGAAAAAAAAAGTGACAAACTCTTCTTACTCTTCTTACTCCTTTAAGTTCTTCCGCTAGAAAAATTGTCTTTTTCTCAGTGTGTTGGGAGATAGTACGAGAGCCAGAGACAGAAACGAGACTCGACTTTCCATTTATTTATTTAATACCACATCGAGAAGTCTATTTATTGTACACCGAAACTCTCTGTACGTTCTTCCGTACTTAGAGCTTTATATACGCGAGCGGAAACGAATATATACTTTACATATATATATATATATATATATATACACATTGATTCACGCTTACTTACATTTTTCAAGCGTTACAATGGCATATACGCATAATCGTATTTCTTGGTAAGTGTGTTTTTTCTCTCGATTCGAATTTTTAATAATTTAAAAAAGATTTATTATATATATATATATATATATACAAAGAAAATGTGTAAAGAGAAAGCTCGTGATTCTTTAAAGCGAGAAAATATAACAAAGTATTTTTTCGGATTCGTATAATATAAAAGGAATAATACCAATCGTCGTAATTCTCTCACGCGTTTAAAGTGTTTCTCAATCCTGAATGAAACGCGTTGATACTACTCGGATATCGAACGGCACGTTCGTCTCAACGCGAAATCCACCGACAACTATTCTAAACCACGTAAATGAGGATGACTCCGTTGAATAAGAAAGAATTTCAACGTGAAAGTGAATAAATTTAGATGGTTGCCATTAGTTTTACTATTGTATTATTTTACGTAGTATTATTACTATTATTGTTATTATTAGTATTGTATTATTAGTATTGTATTATTATTGTATTGTATTATTATTAATATTATTATAATTATTATTAATATTATTATTATTATTGATTCGATATTTCGCCTCATTTTAATTGATCGAAAAATAAAAAAGAGAGGGAGAGAGAGAAAGAGAGAGAGTGAGAGAGAGAGAGAGAGAGAGAAATAAAGATCTAAGCAAATTCGAGAAAACCCGTGAAACGTTTTAGGCTGTGATACAGAAATGAATTATTTCATCGTGTTCCGAAATAACTCGCGCACATACTTTTGAGAAACTCGATTATCTCATTCGCTCGGTCGTCTTTCGTTGGGAGTATAATTTTCTTGCCTTAGTGAAGTTTTCCTTCTCTTAGATAGATAACAAAGATGTTATCTTTGTTCTGAAAAGTAGTACGTGTATAATATATTTGTTTTTAATTTTACGAAGAAATTCTATATCTAAATATATATTTATCTGTGAAAACACGTTATACAAATACACACACGCAGACACATGTCCACGTCATACAGGATGATAATTATTTGACACAACTTTACCATCACCTGTGTATACTTTATTGTATATGTTAAATAAACAAGCTTTTTTTTCTTTCTGTGTAAACAAAATATAATGAGTGTTATTACAATCAGTGCATTATTTTATAATGTAATGCACTGAAATGGTATACCGGCATCTTTATTTTTTTTCAAGTATTTTTAATGTTACGAAAAAGGAGTAAGAAATATTCAAGAAAGAATAAAAATAAATAAGAGAAGAAAATATGGTGTTTTAGAATTGATCGTGTTTAAAATTAAATAGATTTCATTAACGACAAATTATATTTTATTTTTAATAAGCTCCGTGACATAGGAATGAGCTGCTTTCAATTTCATTTAAATGAAATATTTGAATAGTAATTTTATTTAATAAAATGCTTGACAAGTAGCGAATACCACGAGCACTGATTATTAATTATTATTATTATTATTATTATTATTATTATTATTATATCGGACTTTATTAGATAATCTATCTTCTCATCGTCATAACAATCAACACACAGTATCGTCGTTTCTCTTGAGTATGTGGATGAAATGACCGTTTGCTTGCAGTCGAAACTAAACTGTGAAGTCCTGGATGACACTTTGGCTTTTGAGGTGCGCTGGGCCGTTGCAGGTGACAGCATAGTCGTGCAGCTCGTTGGAAAACTTGGTGAGTACATAATTTCGAGCTGTCGTATCCGTGGACTTGACAATGGGCCGAACCGACGAAAGTTTCGTTCTCGTTCTCGTTCTCGTTCTCGTACGTCCTCGAATCCTTACGTTCAAACGTTGAATTTATGCTTTACGATTGAAAATCTAGAGTAAAAGGAAATTAAAACCCTTTTCTTTCCTTATAAACCTAATTTATTATTTTTAATTAGTAAATATCAAATAATTAATCAACGCGACACATATACACAACAATAACGACAAAAAAAAAACGCGTTACAAATTTACTATTTTATTTTTCCCGTTTCCAATTCTTTCTTCTCGCATTCTTGTCAAAAAAAAAAAAAAAAGAAAAAAGAATAGTTCAGCAAAAGAGAAAGAGAGAAGATTTTACGAGCATTCTCGGCACTTTAATCGTTCTCCCGTCGTTATTTCGCGTTCCCATTCTCGTTTCAACCGCATTCGGTCCAATATCTGTTTCACACATTTCCAACAATACCCTGCGAAAAATCGCCACGTCTTTTTCTTTTTACGGTGTGCCCGAGTGTTGTTGTTGGGGACTCGTTCACGACACGCTTACGGACTCCGTTTCCGGTAAAAATGGTTCGAAAACTAGGGGAAAACGGCAAGTACTTCACGCTACCGTAACTTTAACGATCCGTAACGCGGAAGTAGTGGTATTTGTATTTTTACTCGTTCCATGACTACCGATATTATTACATATTTTTCTATCGACTTTAAAAAATAAAACAAAATATGATTGTACGTGTGATAAAGGTACGTGTGTACCTACGTCAAATAAAATGGTCAAAACGATGGATGAGTTATATTTTAGAACGAAGAGATAGACGAACGTATTTATAGCATTTAATTATTATTCATACGATATTCCTAAATATCTACTATAATAGATCCGATCGTTTCTCATTAATGTCAACAGAGGCTGGACAATACATGGCCTTTGGCTTATCGACGAATCCAGATAGAAGCGTTATGGTTGGTGGAGACGTCGCAGTAGCTTGGGTAGACAAACAAACTCTTCAGGGATACGCTATTGATTATTTCTTGGAATCTAAATCACAATGTTCCGGTAGACGGGGAAGTTGTCCGGACAATAAATTACGAGTAAAATATTCCGAAAAATGTCGAATTAAGATACAAAGGTGTTACGTTTATCGAACAATCGAATTAATCTGTCCGACTTTGACATTTGTAGGAGAATACCAACTCGGTTCGATTGTTGAACGCAGCTTTGGTCAATGGGTACAGCATCGTGACCTATCAGAGACCATTGAAAGCCAGTGATGAGCTGGATCTTCAGGTTCTCACGAACAGATCGCAAGCCATCATCTGGGCGATTGGTCCATTGAACGAGAGGGAGGAGGTCAGTTTCCATAGTAACTACCTCAAGACGGATCGTTTCATCGAATTCAGTAGACCACCTGCTTGGAATTGTCCTATTCCTGATCAAGAACAACCGGATACTACTTACACCGATAATCATAATAATGCTGATAATAATCAGGTAAATTTGATTAATTTCTTT